ATATATTTCTGTCGTTCTTCTTTTTATTTGCTCATGAGAAAAAAAAATATGTAGAGATTGTCCTGCCAATGGGTGGGGATCTCATTGCTAAGAAACAATATAGACAAGAAGTTATAAAAAGGTGGAGATTAAAAAATTTTAAAAGAAATTGTTCAGTAAATCATACTAATTATGTGGACATTGAAGAGAATGTAGTGTTGCCTCATACCAATACTGAAACTTTAGATGCATACACTGAGGAACGTAGGCAAAAGGCGTTTCAAACATATAAGGCAAAGAAAAATAGGCCTCTGTCTCTTCCAACTTCTGCGTCGGTGTCTTGCTTCTTTTTCATCCTTTCCGCCACGTGAGACACGCTAGATCTCTTGCGACGATGAACCACTGTCATGTTGGGCTCCTCGGACACCTCTTGAGAGACTTCCGTCTCAATAGTAGGTTCACCAACCGCCGTCATTATTTGCTGCAGCGGTGCCACCTGAAGTGGCGGGACGTCGGTAACTATTGGTTCGTTCACAATCGCCGGTGCAGGTTCCACCCTTGTTGACGACGGCTCACCGATAGCGCTTTGAGATCGGTTAGGGTTCGTTTTCCAGGCCTTGAGGAGGTTCATGCGTCCAACCATCTCGGTTGATCGAAGATTTTTATTTTTTCTGACTTTGTTCTTCAAATCGAGGTTCGGATTACGTCTCCGATGTTCTTCTGCCTCCACAGGATCTCCAAAACCGAAGTATCCCAACAATGGATAATAGACTGTCATAAAAAATTTCAAGTTACGCCGACATCGTCAACATGAAAGATTAACCAAAGCGAGTAAGAAAGAAGTGTACCTGGTTGGAACAAAGAGTCTAATACTCCGGGGGATAAGCCAGCAAGCTCTAACAGCGAATCCTTCACAAGTCGTTGGTATCGTCGCTTGTTTTGGGAAACTTCAAACAACTTGTCCACCCGATCGTACAGTACACCTTCAAATTTAGGTTCTTTCTTCCCCGTTGGTTTTGCTACAAGGTCACAAAAGTCCACCTGTTAGCGAAAACAAAAGACAAGATATTAATAATCGAAGTGAAGAAAACGATAAACAACTTACATTAACCAGATTTAATAGCCATTGGGATACTCGTCCCATCGGCAAGAAGATCATTAGCAAAGTCGGTGCATTGCCAGTCCCCACCGACCCACAACCATTCTTCCTGAAAACCGTGTAATGTGTCGGGAACTTCCATTATCAATTTGCCAACTTTAACCCTTGGCTAAGGTTTACCGATAATAGAAAAAGTGAGAAGCGGATCTGATACTTGTCTGTCCGGACTCTTCCGAAATGTAAACATGCTCCTCATGTCCCTTGCCGATGGTAGATCCCATTTCTTTTCAGCGAAGAGCACAAGTAATCCGATGATTCGCTTCCATGAGTTTGGAGCAATTTGGCATATCGGAAATTCCCAATCCCGCAAGTATTCAGTGATTATACGC